CTCGACAAAACAGAAAGTATCATATATATCCACTGACCCACTCCAATAAGGATCTTGTCGTAATTAAACGCACCTTGGTTCATATTCATTGAATATATATATTGCATTATTACTTTTCAATATCTTTCAAGTTTGGCACTTGATAGGCCTAGCTTATTACCAATTACACATTTATTTCGATTAATACAACACTAAAAGCATTAAATAAGTGGGTTAAAAAATTTTAAGATCGAATTATTATTAATCTTTAGCATCAAGTTTAAGATTAACATAAATGAAACTACTTGGGTCTAGGGGTGTACAAAATCGAATCGAAAATCGAACCAAACCGCAAATTGAGTCAACCCGAAAAAAAAATCCGACTAGTGGTTTGGTTTTAAAAAAAAAAAACCCGATTATATTTGGGTTGATTTGGTTTTAACTAAAAAAAATCAACCCGAGACCAAATTAACCCGACATTATATATATAATTTTAAAATTTTATTTTATACATAAAAATATTTACTTTGATATAATTTTTAAATATTTCTTATACTTTTTCATAGTTTTTATCTTTTAATATATTATTTCAAGTTTGAAACTTAGAATTATGAATGAGCCAATAAAGATTATAGTTCACAGATGTTGGTAATTATAATAAAGCTTAAATCAAAATCAAATTAATATTAATGCAAAAAGAAAATCAATTCAACACTAAGAATGACTATAATATTGGATATTTGTTCTTTAGTTTTACATTGGTTTAGACAATTAAAATACATAATCTAATTTTAATTTCCTTTAATATTTAGTCATGTAACTAATACTTATTAAACTTAATTTTAGCATGATTTAGTACCTTTTAATTATGATCATTTTCATTATGACTTGTTAATTTACAATATTTGTTTTATGCGATTTCATTATTATTATTTTTGTTGGATATTTTAGTGTCATTAATCATATTATATTGTGTTATATTTTTAAGAAACATCTTAGATAGTTGTATTTTGGCAGGACTAAAGAAATATTTGAAGTACTAGTAAATTATATGTTTGTATGAATACTTTACCGGAAAAACCCGAAAAAACCCGAGGTTGAAAAACCCGAGTTTTATTGATTTGGTTTGGTTTATAAATTTAAAAATCCGACACAAATGATTTGGTTTGATATTTGAAAAATCCGAACCAACCCCGCCATGTACACCTCTACTTGGGTCATTCTAAAAACTACTCAAAAAGAAAAAAATTAACACTACTAGATAGAATAAGTTCTCTTAGAAACACTTCCTCCATCTCTTAGGACCCTAGTTAAGTTGTGTCGTTGGAATTTCTATCATAATTTAGGGGATATCTATACATAATTCCTTCGTTTTTATTTGTTCATATTTGATCAACACACCTTTTAAAAAGCAAAATAATTATTTTATTATATCACTCTTAATAATTATAGTCATATGAATATTAAAATGAATATTGTTTAATAATAAGGATAAAATAAGCATAAAATAATAAATAATTTCTTAATTTTTAAAATTAAATAAGTAAAAGTAAACATCTATTTTTAATATAGTAAACAAGTAAAAATGGATAGAAAATAATAATTAAAAATAATATACTAAAAAATTATTTATTATTACTCCCTTTGTCCATAATTACTTGTTCACTTTTGAAATGACACACCTATTAAGAAAACAATAATTGACATGGTGTGTTTACCATTTTACCCCTATTAATTATGAAGTAAATGAATTAAAAATTTAAGATTTTTAAAAAGTTCTACATTTTTCAAAGTAATAAATTGAGGGTATAATAAAGAAATTTGTTTTATTCTTTTTTGATTTGTCAAAATGGATAATCAATTAGGTATATCTAAAAACGAAAAAGTGTACAAGTAATATGAAGTATTTCTTTAAGAGTAAGTCAAGTCAAATGAGAAAGTATGTATATGATTTCTTTTTGTTAATTGTGCCAACAAATAATAATCATACTGGCTAGAGAATTATCAATTGGTCATAGAGTTGCACCCTCAACATTTATGTCATTAATTATGTTTGAACCAATCTACACCTTTTGGCACATGGCTTGCAAGTGGATTTCAATTTTGTATATCCACATATATATATATAATAAGCCACAATGCTATTATCATTGTAACTATCTTGTTAGATTTCAATCAAAAGCTAACAAGATTTTTAGTTACATATTTATTATTTAGTTAAATAATAAATATGTCATTGTATGAGCTATTTATTACTCATTCATTTTGAATTTGTTAATCTGATTTTGATCTGACACATAGTTTAGGAAAGTAAATTAGATTTCTATATATAATAAGCCACAATGCAATTATCATTGTAACTATCTTGTTAGATTTCAACCAAAAGCTAATAAGATTTTTAGTTACATATTTATTATTTAGTTAAATAATAAATATGTCATTGTATGAGCTATTTATTATTCATTCATTTTGAATTTGTTAATCTGATTTTGATCTGACACATAGTTTAGGAAAGTAAATTAGATTTTGAGAAAAAACATTAAGTGATACTTGAAGTTGTCTCAAATTTTCAAAAAGACACCTTACCTTTGCGTGTGTCCTATTACCCCACAAAACATTCAAAATCACAATAAATACACATTTTTTACACAGTATTTCCACTTTGGACAAAAATATCCTTCGAATGTGCAATTTCTTAAAAACAAAAAGTCGGACCCATTATTGATGTATTGAAGGATGCTTTGGTAATTTCCTATGATGAATTCGTTTTGTTTGTTTCTTTTAAATTTATTTTACTATACTAAATAATTGTATAAAATATTATAAATCACAATAATTAATTACTAAAATATTTAAAAGATATAAAAATATGTAAAAGATCTGATTGACGCTTCAAATTTTACCGATGACACATAAATTAGGACAAATGAAATAATATATATTATTTGAAAATTTCTTAGAAAGTACTATAAATTACAGTAATTAACAGTTAGAAATATTTCAAAGACAAAAAAAATTGATTGAATCTCAAATTTTTTTTAGTACTACATAAATTGAGAAAGAAGAAATGACCTCTATTATTTGAAAATGGTGTAAAAGTATTACAAATCATACAATAAGAATTAACAATTTAAAATTTTAAAAGACTTTAATGTTTTATACTTATTCTATTTCCACTTTGGACAAAAATATCCTCCCAATATGCATATTTTTTTAAACAAAAAATGGGACCCATTATTGATGTATTCAAGGATGCTTTGGTAATTTTCCTATGATGAATTCGTTTTGTTTGTTGTTTAATTTTTTTTAAATAATTGTATAAAATATTATAAATGACAATAATTATTTACTTAAATATTCAAAAGATATAAAAATATGTAAAAGATCTGATTAACTCCTCAAATTTTATCGGTGACACATAAATTGGACAAATGAAATAATATATATTATTTGAAAATTACTTAGAAAGTACAATAATTTACAGTAATTAACAATAGAATATTTTAAAGACAAAAAAATTTGATTGAATCTCAAAATTTTATTAGTACCACATAAATTGAGAAAGAAGAAATAACCTTTATTATTTCAAAATTGCGTAAAAGATATTACAAATCATACAACAATAATTAGCAATTTAGAATGTTAAAAGACATAATTTTTTTTAACCATAATTAACAATAATTAAAAAGTTAAACTATTTTAAATTAATATTAAAGTTTGATTAACTCTTTAATTTTGTCTTTGTCACATAAATTGAAACAAAAAATGATACATATTGAGCCCGTGCTAGCACGGGCTCCGATGTCTAGTTATATTATATATCTAAAAGTGGATAAAATTTCTATGCATATCTTCATTGAGGATAACAAAATAGGGATGAAGAATCTTCCAAATAGGATAAGTTGTGATATATTGATATTTTTGCTTGGCACAAAAAGCTCCAAATCAATAGAGTATTTAACAAACATGGAAGATAGAGTCTTCACAATTTTTTTTAAATAAAAAATAGCTTTGCTGGCATGATCTAACCAACCACCACTTTTAACAATCATTTTTTTTGTTGTTTTCTAGTGAAGGGGAATCTAGTAGTTGGCATTGTGTGACTAGAAGGTTCTTGAAGTTATGGAAACAGTCTCCTATAGTAATATAGGGTAAGATTATGTATAATAGATTCAATATGATTTAACTCTTCCACAAACTCCACACATAGGGAAGCTTAATGCACTAGGTTTCCCTTGACTTGCGTATAAAATAAATTCATTGATTTGTCAACAACAACAATATACCCAATGTATCTCACACATGGAGTTTGGAGATAGTGGTGTGTACATAACCTTACGCCTGCCTTGTGAAGGTAAAAAAATTGTTTCTGATAGATCTTCGGGTCAAATAAAGCATATCAAAATAAACAATGGAAAGGAAATACAACAATGACGCAAGTCATGCCTACAAGAATGTAGACGAGAGCAATTCATTGATTTATCAACAACAATATACCCAGTGTATCCCATTAGTGGGGTTTAGAGAGGGTGGTGTGCATGTAACCTTACTCATGCAATGTGAAGGTAGAAACATTATTTCCGATAGATCCTTTGCTCAAATAAAACATATCAAATCAAGCATAAAAAGGAAATACAACAATGAAGCAAGTCATACTGACAATAATGTAGATGAAAGCAATTCATTGATTTATCAGTTATACCAAATACAAAGACTATGGAAAAGCACAATGGTTGTAGAGATCCATTTGAGCAAATCATAATATTAGTAGCATTCTTAATCACAGTGTTTTGAACAATGACAAACTACGGAAAGTAAACTGTGTATACTGAAAAAGGTAAGAAGAAAGGACCTTCTTGTAACCAAAAAATCCACCAACTCAAAATATAAAATTTTCAGATGGTATCATGCATCTTCCCTTTAAAAATATTTGCCAATATAAATCTTGACGAGCAAAAGCACAATAAAAAACCTGCAATGTACATTTCTGAACGACATCGTGGTATATAAACACTCACTTACTATCTTGGATCCGGATGTGCTTTCCTCGGGGAACAAAAGATGGAGAATTCAGCATCTCTTCCGAAACAATTAGTTCTAGGTCCGTACTGTTGTTCATCATCATCACTGTCGATATTACTTGCAGCAGTCCGATTCTGGTGACCTCTACACCGTAAAAGGAAGACATTGAAGTGGTAGCTGACCAAAGATTCCCTGCTTTTGTTAGGAAAGAACTTGAATATTTCATTCCAAAAGCTCTTGTCTGTCGACAAAGGATTCATTTTTACTATATCCTGGAATTTTTGTTCTTCTTGTTTTGTCCAAGAACGTGCAACTTCTTCCCCCATAAAGTCAAATTTCCACCGATAAAAGGCTGATCCCAACTCAAGTGTAACCTTCCTTCGTTTCTCAGCGAGATGAAACTTGATGCATTCATAAGAAGAAGGGTATTGGCAGCCACATGTATCTTGCCTTCCTTTTCCAATAGGATCTCTTTCAATTAACATTCTTTTTTGTTCTTGTTTGTCTAGAGGCCATATTTGGGTACCCAACCATTTCGAGTCACTTTCACATTTCTCATGTCTCCATTCAGGAATATCTGCTTGAAACTGTGGCCCAACTGGTATTTGCTTCCGATGCTGGTTCCACAAAAGGCCAAGTCCTGACTCTTCCGATGAATTAGCAGGTCCATCAATTGGATCCTCATCACTTGGAGAGCTTGAGGACGACACTGCTGAAAAATGTGTCTTCTTCAATGGATTTTTAGCGAGTAGGACCCGCCTGCTGCATCTCACTCTCTCAAGAGAAGCATTATCGTCATACATAGATGGATGCATCTTCTGTTTTATCTACAAGGCAAAGAAAAATTCTGATTTAACCGAAGCTTCGATAAGAGTAAATTGCGAATTCTTTATAAAGCTTGAATATCAGCACAAATGATTCTATCTATTATATATATGAATGCAAGCTTGACAGAAAAGTTAAGGGTTCAAATGAGACGACTTTCTGAACTTCAACTCTGTTACTATGTGAAGTTTCACTTGAAAAGGTGATACAAATACTCTTGCCAAGGGGAAATGCCTTCTATGTATAGGGTCACAAAAGAAACATGAAACTCGAGATATATTGTATTCTTTCACAAGCTGGACCTGAGAAGTGCATTTGTAACAACTCCAGAGCACGTTACACAAAATCAGTATTTTTGGTAAAATTGTTTCAATAACTTACGATGAATACACTTTAAAGTTGCCCAGCAAAAGTTTAAGAGAATCAATGAGATTATAAAAGAGGCTATGCCTGCTCCAAAATGATGAAATGAGCAAACACATAATCAAGATAAACAACTTAACCACGAAATACAAGGCCTGCAAGTGCTGAACCTGGCCTACTGTATATGGTTATCAAAAATCACAATCTTTGTCTGGTCATTCCAAATAGTACTGAGTGAACTATTTGGAAATTCCGCTATCCAGATTAATTCTCCAATTTTACATGTGATTTATCAACATAATAGAATGGAAAGTTGAAAAATTAGAATAGATACAATTTTTTGGCGTTTAAGCATCTGCAGTTTGCTCTTAAATCATACCATACCAAATTATGGAACTTGCTATTGTTTCACAATTATCATCATAAATTAGAAGGAAAAATAAAAACCAAATCTGCATATATGACTATATCATGGTTCATGGCCACTGGCCACATATCTCGATATGCACTAAGAAATTAAATGGTAAGAAGGTGGAACCAAATTTTTCTCTATAACTGAGGTTCAACTGATATCTTTCAGAGAGAATGGGCAATTTATTTACAACTATAAGTAATCAAACCACATTAAGCACATTAAAAGAAGAGAATCAAGAACCAGTAAATTTATCAGGATCCATCAAATACATACTAAAATGAAGATCCATAAAACATGAATTAACTTATTCAACCATATCACAACATCAACTTCGTTAGGTGGATAACTTCATTCTTATCTCCACTAACATTTCATGGTTTCAACAAGGAGACAATTGCACAATATCTAATTTAGGTGAACACTTTTGCTTACCTTATTCTTTTCTAGTTTACACTATCATATAAAATACGACTCATTCCAAAAAGAATTCAACTTTTATCTTACCTAGTACTGTTTTAGATCACTTATTTTGCCTTAAAGGCCCTTTACAGTTTCCAACTAATACTAATAACAAGCTCCACTCCACATCTCAAAATAAAATAGGCTACATGGTGCAATTTAAGTTTTAAACTAATTAATGAAGCGTCGTGCAGAAGCTACACTGAATCTTTCTTTTTTCTTTTCTCAAACTCTAAATCAGTTACCTGACTCTTAAGAGAGAATTGTATCACATAAAATGGACTGATTGAATATACAAGTTTTGTGAATTCAAAGTTATTAAATAATTGAGAGAGTGAGTACATGTCAACCTATTCCCTAGCTCCTTGAATCACATACTCCAAATATGTCACAAGAAAATAGAATAAAACAACTTTTTTAATCTATCAACCATTAGTTTCCAGCAAATAGTAACAAGCTCCACTCTACATCTCAAAATCGGCTCCAACTTCTTCTTTTTTCATTTCAAACTTGTTGCTTATGTTACTCAAATCAACATAGATTCCGGGAATGTGGAGAAAACCAGCAAATTTGATAAGATGTTGGGTACCTACTATCTCTCACTAGCACAAATACAGAGTAACTTTGGCCGTCAACGCTTAGGCAAACAAGGAGAATCACCTAATTATTTTTTTGCATACGCTGGGATCTGAAACTAATACTTCATACCCCCACTTCATTGACCACTAGGTCACATCCTTGGGTGCTTGATTGAGCTGCTTTGTTCCAGATTGGTTATTTGGTTTGGCCGGCTTACATTTATCATTCTACTGAATTCACCACAAACAACTTGCAGTAACTAACACAATATAAATCAGCAAGGAAACTGAAAGAAGCTTGAAAATGCTTAGATTGGCTTGGCCAGCTTGAAAGGGATAAAGAAATACCAACTAGAAAAGAGATAAACCTTAAATTAGCTGAATTGCCTTAATTAAAAGAGCAAAGAGAAAACACTAGCAGTTCATCTCTAATGTAGATCAATTCTTGGATAATAACTCTCTTTATAAGCCCATCCACATTTATATCAATATTTTAAAAGGTAAAATTGGGACTCACCTTGGCAAAGAAATCTATAAACACCAAGAAACGACCATGGGAGTTAAAGTTTCATGAGACCAATACCTCATTATTTTGCCTAGATAGCAAATCAATTTTTTTTAATAACCATGGTGTTCGATCCAGCTTGCACACACCTCGACAAATTCCACAGTGGACTACTACCTCCCACCAACAACGGAACCGGGTAACTCTATCACTGATGGAAGAAATCACCTTGTGTTTTTGTCTTTGCTGGGAATCGAACCCGAGACCTCATGGTTCTCATCGTACTTCATTGACCACCACGCACCCTTGGGTGCAAATACCAAATCGATTTTTGAAAACATAAATCTTTTAAATTTAATATGATCTTTTACTGTATTTTCTACAGTTCTTTATATTTTAGTCTGTTTTTCAAATTTTAAAAGAATATGAAGACAACAAATTTGTGATGCCAACACCCTGCCCCATGATAAGTAAAACATCCCATCCTGTGGCATCGTCTTTATATCACTTGCCTATACTGCTTTCCATTGATCGGATACGGAGTTTGATTAACATTTTATCAGCGCCTAGATGATCCAGACATTGGCGACCTGCTGTAATGTTAACCTATCTTATTTTTGTCATTCACCCTTTCAGGATTATTAACATTTGATCATTTTTGGTATATAAGAAGAGCAGGATCCAAGCACTGCTCTTCTCTGTTATCTTCAATTTGGCACTTCCAACATGTTTTTTTCATGGAAAAATTAAACTCTAAAAACCATCAAAAATTAGAAAGTAGTTTAATACAGCCTTCTGATATTTGAAAGCAAATGCTACGACAATGAGAAAGAATTAACAAGTACAAATGGAGATATGTTATAATGATGCATCAACAGTTAAATATTCAAAACCCAAAAGTAAGGGGGGAAGTAAAGTACCTGCCATATCGAGCTTTGAGCACTTGTATCTGCACATTTTTTCAAAAGCATTTCATCTCGCAGCAGCAGAACCTGCTTCCAGTGTACATCATTCCCATAAAACTTCCACTTAGACCTTTCTGGCAAAGACTCAATGGCAGGATCACAAGGATCTCTCGCAACATTAGTAACCCACCTCAGCAAGTCCGTGTAAGACTCTCGTTTCCTCTTCCTATTGTTCTCATCTTCCCTAACAATACTCGACTTCATTAGCCCAATATCCACTGTGCCACAGTCATCACTTTTCGCCCCACTGACAAACTCAAAACGCTTGTCATCGTGACCAACATTGCTCGTGTCATCAACATCCTTAACAATACATTCATTGAGGTCCACACTTATCTTTCCATCAAACTTCACTGACTGTCTATTACTGAAAACAAAATCATCAGCCTCGATACCATTAAACAACCGTTCATCAGCTGCAGTATCAAACTCACTTTTCTTCAAATCAACATTCGCATATTCCTTATCTTCGTTCTTTTCATCTGAAATTTTCATTAAAATCTCCCTCAAATCCATCTCAACCTCCATATGAACCCCACCCAAAAGCCAATCACACTTTCTCCCTTCACTCTAAGCACAGTACACTCAATATGATCAATCAAAGAGGATTGCCACTACTCATTATATCCGTTGAATCATACAGTTCTTGCATTCTTTCCATCATCGAAACCCGACAAATCTCTCTTAACAATGTATCATAATACTCAATGTAGCCCAATTTTTCTATTAACAATTTCAAGTTACAATTATCTTTTACAATCTTCAAAAGATCTTCAAACCCACCCCCACCCAGAGGATTAAAGCAAGCCTTCTCTTTCGATACTTTTTTTCGGGTGTTCTCAAGATTTTCAGACCCCACCCATCAATTTTCTCCAACAATCCTGCCATTGACATGGAAATTCAAAACCTATACACAAACACAGAAAAAAAAAAACATACAAGCACACACAAAAAAGATTGTAACTTTTCACATAGTATATGAAAAGGGTTTCTCTAAAAAATAAAATTTCAAATCATTTATTTAGATGTTGTAACAATCCAAAAAGATGATATTACTAGTGGGTTTTCAAAATTTTAATCTTGTTATTGAGTTTGAAATTAATAATCCGTACATATTCAATAAATAAAATAGCTTTTACCTAGGGTTTGATTAAAATTATTGAATTCGATCAAATCATAGTCAACACTTTCCTTCCGCCCGAAGATTATTGGGGGACAACATAATATTTGGTACTAAAAGAAAAAATTTGGACCCCAAGTAATTAAAGACCTAATAGGTGAAAGGGTGTTACAATTTTTTGAACAGAAAGAGTTTTATTAATAGACTAGATATAATATGTCCGTGCTAAGCACGGGCCCGACGAATTGAAATTAATTATTTGTATTACAAAGTTGTAAGGAATGTAAATTTATATTTACAAAGATACTATAAAAGTGCCTCAGATATGGAGGAATGTCCATAGCCCTTTCCTGTTTGTTGAAAGTTTAACTAAAATAAGAAACTAATTTTTTTACAACATTTGATTGATAAGAAAAAGTAAACAAACAATATAGATTGCTGACCGGATACAACTCTAGCTTTATTTCAACCGCTGCGTCTTATTCAAACTGCACAATATGAATAAATGCAAAAAATTGATAAACAGTTCAACACACAATCACTGGAAAACATATCTAGGTCAATTCACCACTTGTATTTTCAAGAAAATAATATAATTAATCAAATAACATGCTCAAAATATATCTCAAACTAAATTTATTAAAACTTGTCTACTGAAAAAATAAAGCAGGGATAAAGACAACATTGTTAGTTCAGTACATAGCCACTTGAAACTTTGTTTCGAATCATCAATAAATAATACGTATCATCAAAAATGATTTACTATTCAAATTGATGGGTTTGAAACGTATAGTAACTTTTAAGGAACCGTTATATAGGCATGAAGCTACCTGTTCACAAAATTTCAGTACCATGACAATTTGCAATATTTTTCGTAGTCTTCATGGGTGAATCTCAGATCAGGTGTATTGTGCACTTTCAATTCAATTTCAGTATTATCCTTAAAATCTGAAAGGATCTAAGTACTTGCTCCTTAGGTTCATAAGATCAATAGTAGTGACAACATTCAAGTATATTAATGTAATCCAAGGTGAATGTCTAAAAATAAAAGAAAATAACAAGAAGAGAAAATTTTGATACACATCTTACATCTTAGCTTCTAATGTAGAAACATTATAACAAAAAAAATTGAATTGGTGAGCAGATGAAGATTCAGATAGCGACAAGATGATCATAATCAAAGTAGAAAATATAATGTGAATAGATTATGGAAATGTCACCTTGGTATTGTTATTGTTAAAGAATTTAACAACAGGATAGTCGTTAGGGTCCTCTTTAAATATATATAACTACAATAAAAATAATTGTTCCTTTAACTAATTTTGTCAAGGTATCCACAACAAAATCCTGAAAGCATGTAAGATTATTGATTAAAACTTTACCTGATACCTCAAAAAAGTAATAGAAGAACCATACAAATATCTAATACCAGAAAATCTACACAAAGTTCATCAAAAAGCTTGAATAACTAAATAACAGGGCAAGAAGGTGATGAATTTGGCCACGAGGAAGGAGTTGTGAAGTTCTCAAATTTAAAGTTGTGCAATAAGAGGAAGAACATTCAAATGATGCGTAGGTAAAATGTCTCAAGAAAAAAATAAATAAAAAAACAAAAATCTAAAAGAAAAACCTCAGAATACAATAAGCATGAAAGTTTAGACACTGCAAACTATAGATTAGCTTGACCAATCACAATATGGCACTTTAGATTAAATCTATTTTATTGAAACCATAAGAATAGATATTAAGCCTACTTTTATTCAATGCATTTTTATTTTCTAAAATCTCTGTGTTCTTGACGATTTATATTTATAGAAAAGAAAAATATCAACTTAATTGATGTCATATAGCTGACCTCTGAAAAAACCCTCATTATTTATCGCAATAACATGTAGTAGTGTAACATAAAGCAATACTGGCGGATCAATTAAAATAAGGACTCTAGATTAGCCAAGTCCCATAAAGGAGGTACATCCAATCGAGTTAAAGAGTATGCATCATTGCAGTATGCTGCTAATCCATTAGGAAATGCTGATACTTTAGGCAGCTTTTTCAATAATTTTTCACTGATAAGTTTCCTTCCTAATTTTGTAATATCAAAATGCAAGATATGTATTTCAGTAAGTTTAGCTACAGTACCAGAAATGAAGATGAATAATAATCATAAAATTTATTCAATAGAGATAAACCTACTCTGAGTTACCATTGATCTCTATCGTGCAACCTTAAATTGCATGAAAATTCTCTTTAAAAAAAACAAACACAACTATAAAATCTAAGCAAAAGAACAAAATAAAAAAAAAATTGAATTAAAAAAATGACAATATATGTTTAAATGTTAACCTTGTTCTTTGCTAGGGTTCAAAACATTGTTCGGTCGATTCTTAGAACTATCAGACATGGAGAAACAAATTATCATTTGACATAAAAAGTATATTTAGTAATAGTAAATTCATTCAATAACAACTTTCAAGCAGCGATCTACTCCATTTACCATTCTAATTATAAAATTCAGGGCCATAGCGTTAAAGGGTATACATTTAAAAAAATCAAAAGTTCAGTAACATTAACTCCTTGAGTTTCTACCACTACCTACCTGTACATGACATATATAAGCTTAGCTTTTAAACTTGGCTACATATTCAAAAATAAGTAGGAATACTATCAGTTACTTGTTTGACTTAAATAAAAAATATGTGTTCAACTAAACTCATAAAGAGTAATGGAGAAGGATTTCTTACTAAGTTACTTTGGAATGCATCGTCGAGAGGCTTATACCAACTGTATTTGTAGTATGGCTGATTGCAGTTCTTCGAACTATACTCAACTGATCACTTTGTAGGAGAAGCATCTGAAAAATTGTTATGCATTTATAGATATTGTTGCTCGTAGATAAGGGTATTACCATATCGCCTGAAGAATGGTGCTTCCCTATTGAAAAATTTCAGGAAAAAAAAGCAATATATCTGAGAATTTTTCAGATATTAGGTGACATTCTATAAGTTCTTCAGCAATGATGCTTGACAACTAAATGTACTCGAGATTTTCTTAGCGATTTTGTTCTGCTTGTTCGAGCCTAATATCAAGAAAAATGAATCATGAAAACTACAAATTTTTACACATGTAAAAAATAAATAAGACCAACTAACAATATGATTAAAACGTGGCAGTGAAATGTGTTAAATGAAAAAAAGAAGCAAAAACTTAGTCTAGATCGTTAATTCAGAGTCTTATAATATTTGTTTTTCTTGCTGGTACAAAACAAGCAGTGACTTTATCAAAACTTGCATACATAACATATGAAAGTCAATAAGCAATTTTTAGTTATATATATATATATAACTTCCGTCATTCATTCCTGATCTAAGTTGCGGACTTTTCACTTTCGATGCTGCACTCGTGTCGAATTCTTCAAAAATGCACTACTTTTAGCGAATCCGACACGCACCTCTTGACCTCTTGACATTTTTAAAGAGTCCGAGCAACGTAGTCTTGGATTATGAGACATGACAAGCATAAATACCCATGGATCTTAAAATCATTTATCACCTCTATACAACCATAGGAAAGTAAAAGAGAGAAATAAAAAGTTAGGATAAGAAATTGTACCAATATCGTAATGCATGAACTATGAATGTTCAACATAGGCAAACTAATCACCTTTGCATTCTTAGAAAATCACTATCAAACTGTTATCAAGTGTATTTATCTGACCCTCAAATTTATTCATATAGTTAAATAAGTGTATCTTAGAAAGTAAATTAGTATCAACTACGTCGAGAAGTTGTCTGTCGGTAGTCATTTCGAGACTCTAATGTTTGAACCTCTAAAAATGAAATTGGAAGCTGAAATTGGAACATTATCCTAATAGCATGATCTTGTGGATTCTCTAGTCAAATATTTTTAATGACCGAGAAACTACTGAGATAATGGATTTATCACAATGTTGTTATTCACTTAAATACAAAATTTGATATAACACCCAAACTTCAAACGTGCGATGTACACCTAACACATTTTCGCGTTCCACATAGCACAACATTTACTGTTGAACCAAACCCCTAGAACATGGGATTCTTTTGACATTCACCAGTCATTTTTTAAAAAAATAAACTGATTGTTGTTTCATCATAGGTACTCTTTTTATAGATCAACTAATTTAGTGAAGAACAAACAATCCCTTGGTCCCAAATAACAAGGCAACTTTTACCCTCATAGATTAAGAAAAATACTGCAAATATTAGATAGTAATTTATTCGATTAGGTCATATGGTAAGACTTTCTCCTACATGCCAATTGTGTTTGAAAACATAAGGTACAATAGATGACATTCTTATTCCATACAACTTAAGCTATCCATCTATAATTGTGGCGGACAATTATTCTTTAGGAAAAAAACTATGCCACATCTTATAACTATGTTTTTCTATTCAATACTTTAGTGCTTACTTCCTTTAATCTTATTCTTATTGCTTTCCAAGAGTCAAAACAATGGATAATAGAATAATTGGAAATAGCTTATGACATATTTC